AAAAACATTTTATTTAGGCCTATCTATGGCCTTCAAAAAGTTGACGACTCTACATGTTTTGACGTTACAACTGAGGATGACGTTATACACAAGTGCCAAAATACTATAATTATATAATCATGATGTTAGGAAAACACGTAGGTTCATGAAATCAGTTTAACTCTAAGACACGATACTCTTGCTCCCCAGAGGCACAGCGGTATGTCTGCGGACTTATAACGCTGGAAACCAGGTTTCGATACCCGTGGTGGACAGAGCACAGATAGCCCATTGTGTAACTTTGTGCGGAATTACAAACGATACCCTTATAACCCGAGAACTATCGAAATGTGGTCCTTTGTTCTTCAGTGGCAAACTAAATATGATAGGGATAATCACTGGTCTCTTTTATCCAGTACAGTTGATCGTAAGGGCTACGATGAATTAATGTCACATCATAATGTATTTATTGTAATAGTCTCACGTGTCTATGGCGAAAAGGTTAATTACGTATCGCTATCCGTTGTATCAAATGTAAACAAATAAACGGCTAACTCTAACGTTATTGGAAATGTGAGCTCTACCAGATTTCTATTTAATTGATAAAGAAATCGTTTGAGATAAAAATGACTCGGGAACCTTTATGTTTAAGACGCTTCCTACGTTAACCTTCATGTTTGCTCTTTCTTCTTCAGAAAACTAATGTCTACGTTCGTGTAAGCCTTGACAAGTTTTTAGCCCTTTGAACTAAATTATCAATATATATATATAAAACTTACAAAAGTAAACGTTCTTGGTGCTTATTATCTGCTTTATTAACATAGCGTACAGTATATGCAAAGCTATTTTTAACTATTCATAAAGAATGGAACGTTAACAGACAGTAGCATCTTCGTATCTAATATATCTTTTATGAAACGAGCTTAAATCTAACGAAACTGTTTCCGTCGTAGCTTATTCGTGTATCCAGGGCCAACCATTAGCTTGGGCGAACAAAGAATTGATATTCATACAATTATCCTCCGGATATATTCACGTGC